TCGTTGTAGGAACTAGGACTTTACTTGGAGGCCCAGGGGACTTAGTAAGTCGGTTATAACTGGCTTTATAATTAGGATAACTCCATTTAGGGTACTTATAACTCTACTTATAACCTACTTACTAAGTCCCGTGGGCCTCCAAGTACCATCCTCACCAGGCCCTCCGTCGTGACGGGGCAGTTCTGCGATTTCTTCCTTACGAGTTCCGGGACAGTCGCCCCGTTGCGTTGCATGGGGTGCAGGGTTTTGGCTTGGGGTTCACCCGTTGCGGGCTATGGGGGGCCTGGGTTGTGGCTTTAAACGGCTTGCATGACTAGTTATTGGTGTTCGTTCATTTCATTGTTTGGGGGGGTGTTGGGGGTTGCGGGCTTTGCACTTGTGTTTGTTATGTTGGTTTCGGGGCCTGACGGTTGACACAGGGTGGGGCAAGGAGTGATGTTCAAGCTTTGGAAGGCCTATGCCATGAGTTTAAGTAGGGTTCTAGGGTTCATGTGGGTTCGCAGTGCTTCGCTCCGACTACGTGTGTTCTGCACGCACGCTGTGCATGTGCACAAAGATGAGTTCCGGTTGCGAATGGTGGCATGACAAAGTGATCAACATCGTGTTTATACTTGCTTATCGTGAATAAATAATTAAGAGACTGATTCGACTGGTCATAGGGGCATCTGTATCTAAGTGTAGTGTCGTGTGGCGTGATTCACTGTATAGAGCGCAGGGCAACACAGGGTCTGATCGCTTCGGGTCGGGTCGGGCCGCGTAGCGCAGTGACGCAGTGCTGTATATAATGTTTGTAGTGCCATGTAAGAGTAGGGCATGCTGTGATAAGCGTATATTATGTGCGTACACACACATTTCAACACAGACACGCGCACGCACACGCACGCACACGCGCACGCGCGCACACACACACACACACACATACACACATATCTTGTAGGCTAGAGTGGCGCGTGACAGCTCCGGAGGTCCCGATGTTGCGATGGATGCTGTCCAGACCTTTGGCCTTGCGCTGCCTGGAAGCAGTGTTCGATCCGCCTTACATTTACGAACGACGGCTTAGTGGTTTGGGCGTTTAGGGAGAAGGATGGATTTGGGGGTTTAGGGCCCCAGCAGGGTTTTCAGGCATGTTCATGGTAGGTTCTCGGGCACATGTTTTCTAGATGATCGGCCTTTGCGGTGTCCTCAATCGAAGCGAAATCCCCCAACAAAGCTTCTAAACTTCGAAGCAACTGAAGGCCTGAAGAAAACGAGATTAGTTTGAATCCGGGTCTGGGCTATGCTTGCACGGGCACCAGAACCCTTCCTCGGGAATCTACTTCCGGTTGAAGGTTTAGGGCTTATGTATACAGTTTGTGTGTGAGCACATGCGAGTGCAGGGCGTCCGTCTTTCGCAAATCATAGTGATGTTGTTAAATGAGGGCTTCCGAAAATAGGGGGCCATGATATAGTACCCTGAATAGTAGGACAGGAACCTTGTTATAAGGACACCAAAATACGGTTACCCAGCTTGCAATCTGGCATGAATTGGAAGGTAAGCCGACTTCAAGTTTCGCGAGAAACGGAAGTCTGGCCACAACTGTTCCCGCAGTTGTTGGCATAGTTCCTTTTTGGCCGAAGTAGGCGGTGCCGCAGACTCTGATACTGTAGGCTTTTGGAGTTTATAGGGCTTTTGAAACCTGGGTGTAGAAAGGGGTTTAGGGTTCTACGCTTCTGTTTGCAACGACAAGCTCAGGATTTCCTTCGCCACCGAGCAGGCTTTGGCCCACGGGGTGTAAACTGTTGGGTCGAAACTTCGGGGCGTTTAGGTTTGGGGCTGGTTTTCAGCATTGGACGTTTTTATTAGGATGGGTTCCGGGGAGCGCGATTCCATGCTTGTTCGTATTCTTCGCATCTTCACAGACAGTATCACAAAGTACCATGCCTGTGCTCATCCCATGTGCCTGCAGAGAATTGAAGGATGATACAACCGAGCCTCTACCATAGGGTTGACGAGCAAGCCCGTCCTTAAGTTGACAAGGTGATGTGTCTTGTCCCAGGTCAAAGTAAACGAGAACGATGTCGTCGATGTCTTTTCCTTCTGAAATTCTAAGACGATCGGAGTAAACACTTCTCGCAAAAATTGACGTCAAGCAACCGTATGGTTTTGTCAAGCTTCCTCATTTCAACGAACCCCTGTGCAATCGATGCGTTGCGCTTGACGAGCATGTTTAGCTTTACTGCTGCCACCACCAGTATCTGCGTCAGCATCTCCGTCACCATGAGCACTTTGCCACTACACTTGGTGTCATTGGCAGCATCGTCTTTGTCTTTGAATTTTTGTAAGCACGCCCGTCACCAAACACCAATTATGACTTTGGACATCATGCGGCGGTGGTGGTGCTGGCAATCTTCTCATGCTACCAGCAGAGCCCATGAACACTATGGTCACCAGTGACGATGCTGACAAGGTTCTGAGGATGAGTTTTGGGGTTGTGATAGCACAGCAGCAGCAAGAACCGCATGGAAATTATCACCATGGCGCGGTGGTGATACTGGTCAGCTTTGGTGATGAAGATGAAGGACTAAACCCTAAACCCTAAACCCCCCCAAACCCCAAACCCTAAACCCCCCTAAACCCTAAACCCTAAACCTTAGGCTGAGTGCTCTCGAGGTGCGAGCAGATGGCGAGGTCGTCATGGCCGCCGTGCGCAAGGCGCCGGACATATGGGTAGTTTTCTAAAATAGGGGACCCTAGTATAGTACCCTAAATAGTAGGATCCTTATTATAAGGACCCTAAGGTACCCTTATTTTCGGAAACTCCCATATGTTGAGATGCTTTGCAGCTCCGGGATTCACGGTTTTGGGATGTGAGGTTTCTGGGATGCTGCGGGTTTCAGGATTTTTCAGGTGTGGGGGCTCTAGGGGTATAGGAAGGGTTTTAGGGTCTTCGGTTTTGGCGGTCAAGGCTTAGTGTTCTTTGCACCAGCACTTGAGGCTTTGTTGCTCTGCACGGGCCATGTCTGTGATCGGTAGAGACTGTTTGGAAGGGCATTGTTGATTTTGTTTACCTTTATGCTTCATGGGACATACATTCGGGTGGCACTCCGTGGCAGAAGGTCTATCGGAAGAACTTCCCTAAACCCTAAAACCCTAAACAGTAAACCCTAAACCCTAAACCCTAAACCCTAAACCCTAAACTCTAAACCCTAAACCCTAAACCTTAACCGTCTTGCATTCTGTGCCAGGATGGGATGGCCCTGGCCTATGCATCCCACGACCTCCAGGATGACGAATCCATTGTGGAGGCCAGGGATGGCGATGGAAGGGTTTAGGGTTTAGGGTTTCGGGTTAGGTTTAGGGTTTAGGGTTTAAGGGTTTAAGGGTTTAGGGTTTAGGGGTTAGGGTTTAGGGTTTAGGGTTTGGTCAAGCCGCCAAGCCACCCTCTCTTCAGTTCCATTCACATGACGCAAGCCAAATGCATGCACTCACAGGTGGTTACAACACACATGCACGTGTCGGTACACGGTATATGTACGTACTTATGTATACACAAACATACATACAGTACATACTTACGTACGTACATACATACATGCAGGTTTGTTAATACATGTGTACACGTGCCTCATACTTACATGATGGTCGTTGTGCTCTCCTGCTTATCTTGACTTGCCACTCTGCTGCCTTCTCATGCCCGGAAAGAGTCTGAAGTCAGCCGCTGCTGTTTGCCTGCTCTTTTGTTTATAATGATGTGCACTTCACCCTGCTGAGTGATTAGTTATGTGTTTGTGCTTTGACACAGTAGCCGAGCTGTACATGTGTAGACGGAGCTTTCGCGTGAGTATGTATCACCTCGGTCAGAGCGATACAAGCACCACGTGAGACCTCTCACCCGACGCGAACCTTCAGGATCAGCCGCATGGCTGTTCAAGTCGTGAGAATGCCGGTAATGGTCACCCTGAAGCCCTGAAGCCTAGAACTTGCAATATATAAAGCACCTCAACATACCTCAACCTTGACCCTACATACGTGAAACGAACACACTAGCCCTTCAACTCAAAAGCGAAAGAGCATCAACATGCCACGCCCCAAAACTAATGTGGCAGTGGTAATGATCGGGAATTGGCAATGCTTTTTGGGGGCGTACTCTATAATGCGCAAAACATTGGCCCGACGTTGCCTATGCATTGTTCTTCCTGCTATAGCTGGTGAGGACTCCTGGGTAGGACTCTTCGTAGCCATAGTTGCTGCTTGACAGATCAAGGTCTCTCTGTCAGTGATTCGCTGGTAGTTGGGGCCTTGTGGGTGGTTGAGTGGTTGGGATGGGTTTTGGTCGTTATGTTTGGTCTTCCGCGGGATTGCTTGGCGCGTGTCTTGCTTGTGTGGAGCCTTGCCTGCCTTGTGCGTGAGCGAGAGTCGAACGGCTACATGTTGAAGAGAGTCGCAGCTTCGTCTTAGAATGTTAATGATCTGGGGTGGGGTTTGGCTTGTAATTTGGGTTTTTCTGACTGAGGACAAGAATCTCAACATTCGGGAGATTTTGGGCGGCTGTCTGTGGGGCTTCGGAAGGCCCCTCCGTTACCCCTAAATCCTTCTACCTTGTGATCCCAAAGAGCTCGTCTGGATCCTCCGAACCTCTTAACCGCCCAAGGCCCTCCACGAAGCCAACCGAAGCCATGAAAGCCCTTCTGTGGTTCTACTACAGTAATACTATTTTATACCTACTGGACAACTTCGGTATCATTGCTCTACTGTTGTACCAAGCGCCCCTAAGGCCGTGCCCTGCTGTTTCGTAGACATGTCCAGGCCGCTACCGAAGAGAATCCTAGAGCCTTGCAGTTCGCTTCTGACCGTTGGCGCCGGGACAAGGTCTGGCCATGCCGGTGTTCATTGCGGAGGGCATAGTGGTAAGGATTGATGAAACCCCTATAGGCCCTAAGGCGCTAAGTTATGAACTGCTTAAACCTAGCGGCTAGAATTCCCAGCTCTTGCATCATGGAGCCCCGAAACCTACGTATGGATACCGTTTCCGACTCCAAAACTCTACGCCCCAAACGTTGTACAGGACTTGTCGTGGGGACTTCGACTTGGCTTCGATGTTCGAGTTTGTTTCTGTATATTTTGACGATGGGCCGTGAAGTCTTCGGCCAACATCACTTTCAGCAAAGGGTCTTGGGGATTTTGATGCTGTCGTGCAGCCTTCAATGCTTGAATTTGGGAGCTTGGGTGTGCCAGTTGTTAGCTAGCTACAGGCCTCGTATCTATAGTACAGAACAAGGGTGCAATTAGTTTCATGCTGCCCTGACTTGGAGTGTCGCTTCTGTTGCATTCGGGGCCAGGGACCTGGGTAAAGGTGCCGTGCTATTTTAGGCATGTAAAACGGGACCCGAACTTAAGGAACTTCCCACATGGCCTTCGTTTGTGTTCTGTGGCATTACGGGCTTACGCAACGGTCTTCTTCTTCTTCTTATTGTTCTTGTTGCTGTTGTTGTGAGTACTACTGTTACTGTTAACTGCGTGCTGGCCTTTAGCCGAATTGTGATGCCTAGCTGATGCCGACTGCAGATCGCGAGACCTCACCTGGCTGTACCGAGTTTTGCGGGTTAAACCAAGAACCTTAAACCAAGAACCGTCAAAACAAAACGAAATATAGCGGCAATAGTGCGGACAATGTGACCTTTGAAAACAATAAGTACCGATAGAGATTATAATGCTGATACCTAAATCCGTACAAAAAGACCCTGAACCCTAAACCCTGTCTGAATCTACTGAGGCCCCAATAACAGGCTCCTCCTGGTAAGGAATTCTAAACTGTACTGCAGTTAGAAAAGGGCCCGTAAAAAAAGTCTGAGTGTCAAAACCCTAAATCAGTACACAAAAGACCCTGAACCCTAAACCCTGTGTGAGTGTCAAAACCCTAAATCAGTACACAAAAGACCCTGGAGGAGCTACTGCAGCGCATCCTTGGGATTGACGGCCTCGCGCTGGAGTTTGTGACCGGAGGCCGGCTATTCGCTTGATGGTCGGGTGTAGATGTTAGGGGTTTACGGTTTAGGGTTTAGGGTCTTAGGGGTTTAGGGTTTCCCAGCTGATTGGCAGAGTCTGGGTTCAAAAAAGGGTCTGGGGTGTGCCGAGCCTGACGCGCGGCCGCTTGGGGGTTTAGTTTAGGGCTGTAGGGGTTTAGGGTCTTAGGGTTTAGGGGTTTAGGGTTTAGGGTCAAAAGGGAAGTGGTAAGCCTGTTGCAAAAAGGGTCAAAAGGGTTTAGGGGTTTAGGGTTGCTTTCTTTTTTGCGGTCTCGGCTTTCGGGTTTCAGGGTTTGGGTAGCTGTAGACAACACAGGGTTTTAGTTTCTGGGGTTGTAGATGGTTTTAGGGTTTAGGATTTCGGGGCTCAGGGTTTAGGGCAGTTTAGGCTTCAGTCACTTGCGGGTTCAGAGAAACGGCTGGAAGGACTGAAGGTTTGAGGGCGTTGGGACCGTTGGGATTTACGTGCGCGAATGGCTCGACGTGGAATAGCACGCCATGCCAAGCCCTTCATGTCGAGTCAGTGTGCTCCGAGCGGAACCAGCGGGATCGAGCCAGTGATGAGGCATCCGCCTGTATTTCACTCGCCAGAATCAGCCGTGCTTGTTTCCTCTGCTCAGGCTTGGCCGATGACTTCGAAGTATGCATGGAGGCAGCTTCAGTGACCTTATGCTGATTTCCAGATCTCGTTGAATAAGTGGCATCACCATATGCCACGACTTTGTTCCCAAATTTGTAGTCGAACTCCCCCCCCCCCCGCCCGAACAAAGTTCGGCAAGGCTGTGAGCGAGAAGGGCGCAGCGCTGATCCATTGCTCGGCTGCGATGAGTGCCCTGCATGTGGTTTTTACCTGACCGCACATCAGAAGGCTAATCAGCAGAAATGCTTCCGACTACCTAATTACTCGTATACGTCGATTGGATTGATACGGCCACTACCACCACCACGACCACGTCGACCACGATCATGACCGCAACGACCGCGACCAACTACCACGACGACGACGACGACCACGACCACTACCTCTGCCCCTACCGCCACCTATGCTATTGCTATGGCTACGGCTACTGCTGCGACCACCGCCTACGGGCCAGCACTGCTGCTACTGCTGCTGCCACCACCACCACCACCGCCACCACCGGGAATACTGCAGCAGCAGTGAGTTTATTGATGGCAAACACGTAGCGACACAGCTTTGCAAGGTAAAGGGCCATGTCTGTCTCCACAACTGCTTCACACGAATGACCAGAACCATCCAGCATCATGATTTAATGCCGTTCCTCATGCAAGCGCGCTTGCAGTATTCTCTTACTGCCACATGGACCACATGGATGATGAAATCCATGAGCATCACCATGGTCCTCATTAGCAACTTTCTTTCCCCGTGCTTCCATCGACGCATGCGGTACCATCGGATATTCGTCACCGTATCACCATCTTCTTGCCAGGCACCGTCATCGTCGTTTCGACAGTGGGCCTTTTCTTCAGCACCATCATCACCGTTTGCATCAACACCATCAGCAGTTGCCAACAGAGCATCACATGTTTGCAATCTCTCCTATGCTTAGAACAGTATAAAGCCCAATCGTTACCATCGTCATGCTATCAAGACCTTAAAGTTCTGCAGTATAACAGCATCACCATTGACAGCACCGCCCGTTCATCCATCCATCCATCCATCTATCCAGCCATTTGTTCATTTGCTCATTCCATTTCATCCTATTTCATTCCGTCTCGTCTCATCTCATCCCATCCCATCCCATCCCGTCAATCAGTCAGTTGGTAGCAGAAGTGAATTACATGCAGCAGAGAACACACAGCATCAGCAATCACGTGGAAGCGGTCGACGAATTAGCAGGACAGAGATCTTTGTCACATGGGCGTGTTCTGTCATTGGTTCTTGCTGGCCATGAAGATTCTCCAAAATCCCAAGGCCCTGTAAGATACCCCTAGATCTTCTATATTGTTCAGAAACTAGACTAGATGGCCCAGGAGACAACGAGGACATTGTCCGAACTGCACTGGCCAGCGATGGCATGCAACTTTTGAAGCTTGTTTTGAGATCTGGCGTGTCCTCGGCGTTCCTGACTTGGGGATTCTAAGATCTAAGACCGAGGTTCCTAGTATGCGGTCTATATCAGATACACTGTGGCGCCTTGCATGTTGCGAGACTCCGGCAGCTACTGCGCAGGCTCCTAAGGCAGAGCTCATACTTTCAAAACAGGGAGCTGGATGGTTCTTCTGCCACAGGGTTTCATGAGAGCCCATCAGTTTGTTTCAGGCTTCCGGGCTTATGTTGAGATTAAGGTTAGGGCAATGGGATGGCTTACTTGCAGGCATTGTGTTAGGTTCTGATGGTTGTGGGTCTGTCTGGCCACACTGTGGATGCCTTGCTACATCGGTGCTTGTTTCGGGACAGTTCTGGGGCTTTTCTTCGACTTGGCTGGGCAGCAAATGTTTGCACACGGATGTTCTATCATCGCTGCAACTCTCTCTTACCGGGTATATTCTAGTACAGTAGAATCGTATATTAGAGTATATGATGGTATGTTATCGTATATGATAGTACAGTATACTTGTAGCAGTGTGTTTCTGGGTTGCTGTTGCTACTTCAGACTGGTTAGGCTTGCCACCCTCCTATCGGATACTATGGGACTGGCACGATTCGGGAGTTTCATCCAACAAGCTACCCCGTTGCACACCAAAAAGAGCAGGAGCCTCAATGAAATATGCAACAGGCTCCCTTACTTTTGGAACCCCCCCTCCGGTGAAATGCTGCAACACCGCATCCACATTCTCAACTGCAAAATGCTTGGCATGGGCCGCCAAACGGAAGAGTTTTTCCTCGCTTGCGTCGGCACGATTGAGCGCCATGTGCTGTAGCATGAGGAAGTAGCTGTCAAGGGATCCTTCTCGATCATGTGATACACCAGAACCCTAAATGCCCCGGCATCCCAACCTGTAGGATCCCTGTTTTTCACCGACTGAAAGTTGACAAAGTCAGACATCCCGGGCACCTGAATAGTTGCCCCAGGCTTCTACAAATGGAGTAAGACAGTAAGACTCAGTAAGACACCCCGAAAACCCAAGTCTAATTACGTAAGACTTTGTACTAAGTATCTTCCAAGCCAAACAGGTCGTCAGCAGTAAGATTTGGAATGCAAGTTTCTGATTCCCGTAGGCTTAAGCCTTAACTCCTGAACTCAGGGCCCTAAACCCTTTGGCAGCACAATCACTCTGAGCTCCAAACCCAAACGCCTACACCCGATATCCTATAAAGCCTAAGCTTCAGAAGAACTCGAAACCTGAAGCCGTCAGAGGCCCCAAGCCCCAAAAACCCTGTAAGACCCCAGACCTTAACACCTCCAAAGCCTTAAACTCCTACAAAAGCCCTATAAACTGGAAACCCTCAACGCCCCAAGCCACAGAAGCGCTAACAAAAAGCCCCAAGGAATGTCTCCAGTCGGCTGCGAGAGGCCCTGACAAATGGAATGCTTGTTTTGGGTTTAGGGTTTAGGGTTTGGAGGCTTGAGGGTGAAGGGTTGCTCTAAGAGTTTTAAAAGGGTCACTATGGGGGGGGTTACTTGAGAGTTCTATAACGCTTACTCCAAGTCACGAGTTCAATAGGGGGCTACTAGTAATTAGAAGGGTGACTATAACAGTTTTGAACGGGGCACTATGAGGATTGTCTAAGGGTGTCTATTATGACGGCCTAGAGGCTTAACGTAACTAGGACAGGACATAGAATAATAGAGGCTAGCATGCGGCTGAGTCCAATACTGCACTAAAGATGCAAGTGTTGTACACACATACGTGCAGATCATGTGCATGTATGCACGATACTTGTTTTGCATTTCTACGTGTTCTACATTCAACTTAATTTCTTCCATTGCAACAATGACATATAGCCTGTCTTCTAATACTAGCATATTAATAATTGTCCGTTATATATATATATATAGAACAAGTATTGATGAACATGTAGCTGCATACGCCAAAGCATGCATCTGGTCAGGATCGCGAATTGGTTAAGCTTGCGGTGAGCTCCTTGGATGCAATTGTCCCTTTCCGAAGCGGGTATTTTCAGGTTTAACTCCCGAAATACCCTAAACCCTAAACCCTAAACCCTAAACCCTAAATAATCCCCAAGGCAAGCCCTTGATAGAGTGACTGCGCGCGCAAGTGCGTAGTATGTCCTGGCTGAACAGATGAAAGTCTGCATCCTCAACGCCGTAACAGTGAAGCCGTAACAGCGAAGCCTGACGGCTAGAAGTTTATGAGTCTTTGCCAGGCAGGAAAGCCGGTTTTAAACACGATCGCCCAATGACAGCAGTGGATGTTTGCCCAAAGACACCGAATCCGACGCCTCGGGCAGGAGGCCTGGACGTTGCCTGGTTCGGTGTCTCCGGAACTTAATTCCTGGGACGCGTAAAGCCGAAGTCGGCATGACTCCTAGGCAGAAAGTCTCCCGGAGGTTGAGTGTAGGGGCGCATCCAGGCCGATGTGCATTCGATCTTCGTGAGTACGGCCGTACCCATTGCATCTGAAACGTATAGGCCTGCGTTTTGCAATGCTCAGCTCTCAAGACTGGCATGACTCTGGGAAGTGTTTCGGCAAGAAATCTTAGAGCAGTATGCTGCAGTATGGAGTTCCCATCCAAGTCTTATGCCATCTCACGTGTTTAGGAGGTGCTGCGCTTTTCAGCAGCCTCTTAACAGCGGCGAGATTTTCGCGTTTCTAGGAGGTGCTGCGCTTTTCAGCAGCCTCTTAACAGCGGCGCCCGTTCATGGCTGGGCTTCTTGGGAGCTTTGGGCGTTGGGCGGCGCCGCGCTTGGCGAGGAGTTGCGTCACCGCCGCCACAGACAGGATGAGGCTGCAGGAGATGGCTGCCATGCTCCACAAGGTTTGGGGTGATAGGGTTTGGGGATTAGAATATAGAATTGAAGCGGGTGGTAATCATCTATAGTTCATGTGCAGACTTGATGTTAATACTTCTGATCCCTTTCTGATGGCTGTTTGGGGATTAGGATATAGAATTGAAACGGGTGGTAATCATCTATAGTTCATGTGCAGACTTGATGTTAATACTTCTGATCCCTTTCTGATGGCTTAAGTCTGCGAGCCTTCTCGCATGTCGTAGACCGTGTCTGGCTTTGCTTGTTTGTCTGGATAGTTTTTTGCTGTGTTCAATGCGTGTATTCATGGCCTGTCCAATGATCAGGCTTACGTTTAAGACGTTTAAGCCTCTGATGTTTAAGGACAGTGCAGCGTAGACATGCCGAAGTTTGGGAAACACATGCCAGTCAGAGAGAGAGGGGGAGAGAGAGAGAGAGAGGGAGAGTTTTTGACACAGACAGAGAGAGACAGAGAGCTGCCAGATTGGTTGATGATGCTCAGTGCTTTATTTATTGTGCGAACATGCAAGTCAACGTAAGTATCCAAGCACATCTTGCGTCCACGACTGCGGTCTACCGTCAGGCCTGCAGTAGCTCTTTGAGGAGCAGGGAGCAGCTTCCATGGGTCCGGGCGAGGGTCTAGCTACGAAGAGTATGGTGGGGGATGGCATAACACCTGCCGGTGCTCCATTTTCATTTATAGCTTAGAAAAGCAGTGAAGCTCGGGCCACCCCTTAAGTTTCGAAGGGATCTGAACAAGAAGTTGTTCTTTTGCTGAGGCCTCTGAACTTGCCCATGGGTGGTTCCTCCAAGTACGATGACGAAGTGTCGGTAGAGAACCCTTTCTGGTTCATAGGGACTACAAAACACGAGTCCCCAGGTGCCACCTGGATCCGTGCCCTTCAAGGCCTTATCCGCGGGTTGCGATCACACGTGCGTGGTGAAAGAGGATGGAAACCTGGTGTGTTTTGGTTCCCTTTATTCTGGACAATGTGATGTACCTACAGGGATGGGGCCTGTGGTGACCGTTTCTGCTGGTTGCAATCACTCCAGCGCCGTCTGTGCTAATGGGCACTTGACCTGCTTCGGTTCCAACATGGCAGCACAGCTAGAGATCCCTGCAAACCTGGGGCCCGTAGTTGCCGTCTCGTCGGGCTGCCTGCATACATGCGTGGTGAAGCCAAGTGGGCAGCTGGTGTGCTTCGGGGATAACAGCGCGGATCAATGCAGTATTCCAGACGGCATAGGCCGGATGATGACAGTCTCAGCTGGCTGCGATCACACATGTGCGGTGGCAGCTAGTGGGCAACTGGTTTGCTTTGGCTCCAACCTTTGTGGCCAATGCAACGCACCGGAGGGCTTGGGACCTGTAAATTGCGTTTCTGCGGGCTGTAAGCACACTTGTGCTTTGCAGGCTGATGGACAGTTAGTGTGTTTTGGATCCAACTTGGATGGTCAATGCGATGTTCCGGAATCCTTGGGTCGAGTGACCGCAGTTTCAGCTGGCTTTGACCATACCTGCGCCTTGACTTCTGATGGCCGCTTAGTGTGTTTTGGAGACAACAGCGCAGGCCAGTGCGAGGTACCCCCAGGCTTGGGGTTTGTAGTGGCTGTGTCTGCCGGCCGTGCGCACACCTGTGCGCTCACCGCAGATGGGCGGCTGCTATGTTTCGGGGAGAATGACGTGGGACAATGTACTGTCCCTGTCGAAGTAGCACAAAGCGGCTACTCTTGTGCACGTTGCTGAGCTTGACGTGGCTGCGCCCCAGCGCTGCTATTGCTTCTCTTCCCGGGCATGCCATGGGTCAGCACAAAGCGAAGGGGTGAAAAGAATCTGCTTGCATAATCATGCAGTATATATATATACACACATACATATATATATATATATATACATATGCATTTATATGCATATGCAAATTTTGTGCGATGTTTAAACTTTGTCCCTGGATATTGATATTTTTCTGCATATCATTGACAGAACCCTACATAACTAGCACAGCAGAAGTGCGGTGAAGGTAGGCTATTTCGCCCCCAATAGGTGCCTTTGCAGCCGCAGGTGACACTTGCGTGAAAGCGCAGAGCCTGTCCCACCGATTGTATAGACTCAAAAGGAACTTGCCTGACGCAGCTGTGGCAGGTCCAAACACGACCGCTAGACTTTTGCCTGGCATGTGTACCATTCTGTCCCCACTGCCCGTTGCTTCTTAGTCGCTCACGCTTTAGCTCAGGTCAGCACCTGAACCCCACTAGCTCTGGCTAACTGCGGCTCTGCATCTCAGAATAGGCCTGCCAAGCTCTTGAAAGCCGAGTTGCCACTTCCTCAAGTCCTCAAGAAACCCTTGGAACAGGGTGAACCGGTTTGGTGAACAAGCGGTCGTAGTTGCTACTACATGGCCAGCCAGTGAGTCTCCGAGTCTCCCTTTCGACCAGATGAGTGCTGCAGCCGACGTTGAGACCGAAGAGGCAATCACGCTAGTCTTTGCTTTGGATATGTCTGTGCCTATGTATACAAGACTCAGCGGTCCAGGTCGTTGACAGTAGGGCTTTTGGCTTCGGGCACCCAGGACGAACCATGTAGTTACGTGTCATGTGGGAGTTTCAGACACAATGGACGCACACATGAGAGACACCAAATGGTAGGACCCTTACTGTAAACCGTAAACCCCTAAACCCTAAATTGGTCCTAAACAAGGTGCCCTCAATACCTATCCCAACTCCGCAGCCCTGAGCCCCCAAGTCCAAAGATCTTGCTTGAGACCACCCGGGACTCTTAATCCTAAGCCTAAGCCTTCTCTTTCTAAGCCTTCAGCCTTCGATTCCTTAGATCCTATATAGAACCCTATAAATCCTATTGGGGATCTGCTCAGCCTATCTTCAGTTCGGACGAGTTCCCTGCGGTGCAACTTGGTCAGCTGGGCGGGTGGGAAAACTCCCCCGGCAGCAGATGGAGAGCTGCGTGTCGAGGGTCGTCAGCTCTGAGGATGTGACCTCCTGGAAGGTCAGCGGACATGTCCCCAACTGTCTCTAAGTGTCTCTATGTACCTCTACAGCTTATATATACAGTTATATGTATATGATGTTATATAATTATATATATATATATGATGTTATATAGTCTGTTATACTATATTAAACTCTTTAAGAATATGTGCTCAGCCGTGGGGGGCCAAAGTGCACACACGTGTGTGCATTACTACATGTGTGTACCTATGGTAAAGGAGCAGCCGACTTGTGAAAGTAGGTTAGGGTTGGTGTAAACACCCTAAATGCTTGGTTAAGCAGCATCGCATCGCACGCTTCTTTTCGACTGCTTCCTTCGATCCTCTATTCGAACTCTCTCTGTGTTGAACCAAGAATCAATGCTTTGGGACCAGGTCGGAGTGTGAAAAGAGCCTTGGGGCTGCAGAATCTATAAAGGATTGCTGTTTGGTTTATCTATTCCTTTATGGGTCGCTGCACGGTATCCGTCATGGCTTACCTTCGAATACCATCCTTTGAAAATTTCCTGGAGCAGCACCATGCCGGCAAAAGCACGGTGACTGCCTAAAGAACGCTGCGCACGTGCACACAGTCATTCCTTTGGGCACAGCCCTACGACCCACAATGAAACCTCAACCCTAAACGAACCCTGAGACCTCAACCCTATAAACCCTGAAATCTCAACCCTAAACCCTAAACCCTATAAACCCTGAAATCTCAACCCTATAAACCCCAACCTCAACCCTGAACATCATCCAAAAAGCTGAACCCGAAAGCCTCTGCAAAGACCTGTTGCCGCCTGAAAGTCTGTATGTAAAGTTACTGGGCTGGTGTGTATGAGGGCTGTGTGTTGCCTGGTTAAGGGTTTGATGATGTTTAGTCTAGAAGCTTAAGTTAGTGTTTAGTGCTCCACCCCCCCCCCTATTCTAGTTCCTCTGATCCCTATGTTTTATGGTTTGTCCCGACATTGCGAGAGTGCGAAGCCTCAACTTTAAACCCTATGCCATCCTATGATGCTGAGGACCCTAATCCATAAACCCATAGCTTTCCTATTAGATGCTTGCTGCTGCCGCAAACCCCAAGCACCCAAACACTAAATCCTTGCACCTTTGGGTTACAGTTCTTGTTTGCGAGAGGCTGGGCGACGAAAAGTTAGCACGGAAAAC